GCCAGATATGTTTTTACAAAGAGAATCTTGTCTCGTGTCAGGATGAATTTAGTTCAAAGTCATAATAAACCCAGCCATGATGTGCATTCAAGCAAAGTAAAGAGCTAAAGAAGGATTTTAGAAAAAGGGTTTTTCACACACTGATGTAAATAAGCACAGATATGAAAAAATCATTTTCAGGCCAAAAAATCTAATTTGAAAGATAAATGGAATCAGATCTCCAACAATCTGTCTCAATGACAAGTACACTTCAGAAAAGACACCCACTTGTACAAGCAGGAACACACACACACACACACACACACACACACACACACACACACACCCCCCTACCTAGCTCATTCTTGAAGGCTTCTCTTGCTGCCCTCCACTCTGGTCTGTCATCCTCCGTTTGAACTCTAACAGTCTCCACCATAAGGTACATGATGCTCAGTAAGACTCTGCAAGGAAAAAAAACAAATTTCTTAGCTTGCGTGTATGTGTGCGTGTGTGTTAGACATTTCCCTGGTACGCAACACAATAAATAATTGTCCTAAAAAGTTCTACAAGTACAAGAGGCATTAATATGGTGGAGGACGTAAAGAGTAACAACAAAGAAGGACTAAGTGCAATTTTCTTGTTCAAAGAGGTACAAGAGGAAATTATTCGTATTCTCTGCCAGGATAATACATCATCCATTCACAATTACCTGAGGCGGGGTCTTTGTACATTAGGACGCTTTGTCCCCTCAACAAAGCCTCAAAATCACTGTAATGCCTTTCAGTTCCGTAGCAGCAATTAAGTGCAAATCCACTCCTGCAGCCTGTTATTATTTGTTAGCGTATGACTTGGTATGCAGCTGTGTGTGTGTGCAGAGGGGCTGCTCAGCCTACTTTGTTCAAAAATCAATTCCATTATGTAGAAGCAGAAAATAAATGTCAGAGAATGAAGTATATAATAGAAAGAGCAAGAGGCATAAGATTGAAGGATTGGAAGATATTCTTGTACTTATTGGCATTCCTTTTGTGTGAAGTGAGAGGAATAGGCTGTGAGTCATGAGCTTATATATTTCTTACCTGAGCTCCGTGCTGTCTGCAAGAGAGATGGCAGGCTTCCTCACTGCACTGCTGCACGCCTGGTTATTGCTGCACACACAAGTAAATACTGCATCATTTTACTGGTCTATTTGAAAAATAGGTGTATAAGCAGCACCATGTGAGTGTTTGCTAGTTTGCTTACACTGCTTTGCCGTGCAGCATGCCATACTGTGCATGATGCCTCAGAGCAGCTTATGTAACAACAAAGAAGCGCAGGATCCCAAACTGAGGCTGACACCAGCAGCAACAAAACTGACTTGAAGGAGCCGCTACTGCAACGCGTCCTCGACGGAATATTTGAAGTGTGGATCACAGGCGGTGCGTTTGCTCTATTCCTATACAGTATCTATTTTCCTCTCTCTCAAAGCCTTTCTGTGTCTGTCTTCCTATCCTCATAAACCTTGAAAGGGAAGAAAGGGATGTGCTGAGGGACTAGGTCTTCTAACACAGGAGGATACTCAGAGAATTTTGATCTTTGAAGGCTTTTTCAGGGCTTGAACCTGTGATCTTTTGGTATCATGACAGCCCCCCGATGAAAGATTGTGGGAAAAATTGTTTTCCTTTACCTGAGGACCATAATGGCAATTTGGAAGCCCACTCCTTCCTTTTTTTGCTGCAGGCCTTTGCCTAGTGTACATATATTTAAAATAAATATTTTAACTTTTTTGCACCTCATCAAGCAAATCCAAGCTCAAAAGGACATTCTAGCATGTGGCTTCGATAGCATTTTTTAAATCTTTTGAAAAAGTTAAAAAACATATTCAACAACTCGTACATCCCGAGCATATTCGGCGTGTCTTACTCACTCTATCTCCATGCTAAGCAGCTCCAGCAGTGCTGTGAAGATTCCCATGTCGTAGAGCAGAAAAACATTGTGTCTGGACCAGTGGAGCACATCCACCTCGGTGTCACACTCATCAAACACTCCTGGGGTAAACAGTAAACAACAGATGTTTCAATGTGCTTTTACTTTAATTGGAGAGGTTTGCAGGTCATTTATAAATCAAATGCATAACCCACTAGGCTAGGTCAAAGCTATAGATGTGTATGCACACTTTTGTAAGTTGTACACACATTGATGACTTTTTTTAATCAAACTTCTGTTAATCTAAAAGTGAACAGCAGTGGTTAATGGCCATACAATAACTGCTACAGCATGGTGACATTTTGACTTTGTCACAGTAGAAAGCACATGTGGTAAAAATAAACGTAAAGGTGGCTGAGTTTATTCTGGCACATTGTCAAACTACTTTGTCTGATGTGGAAAAGGAATAATGCCTGTTGTACAGTATTAGGCCCACGCACCCTGAGCCAAGTAGAGGATTG